CAAAACCCCCAAACCCCAAAACCCCAAAACCCCACTATTAGAAATTAATCGATATGGAAGATAATATAAGAATTAAAGTATATATATACATAAGAAAATAGATTATAAATTTCTCACTCTTGATTTTAAAACTTATTTCCTCAATTTGAGAAATTCTAAGTTTCTCAATTAAATATTTAACATAGTAGTAGGCTTCTACTCTGTTAGTAATAAAAATCAATTTAGAAAGCAACATTTGAATGAAAATATAAAATACAGAAAAGTTAGAAAATGAAGACAATAGTAATCTTGCCATGCTTGGAGATTTTACATAAAGAGATGAAATTCAAACACCTATCCCTTCAGCTAATACCAAATTGCCTCATTAAGAATTCTCAATTCCTGATATTATGGATTAAGTTTCAACTATTGAATAGTATTTAGTCCAAGAGGTTCCGTTTGATAGTTCGGAACTGTAAATTAACATGGGAAAAGACTCTAATTTAATATTTCTTGAAGAAAACAGCATTAAATTCTGGTCTCTAAGAGGCAAGAAAATAGTTAATGAAATTACTCAATTTGAGATGGTTGAGTTAATCAAATCAACGGTTTACTTTCTTATAATTCAAATCTCAAGCTTTCGGTATTAGATTTTGGACCCTTTTTCTTTCACAAAGCTCTTTGAAGTTCAAGGGAAAGCAAGATTGTGCGAATGTACATCAACTAAAGATGTTATCTTAATAACTGAGAGTAACGGTTAAATTATAGCAATTGATTTTACAAATAACAAAGATATCCATGTTTAAACATACAGCCCTTAAGATAAATAATTAAGAGAAGTATTTACTAAATTATCAATCTCAAATGATGGCAAAACATTTTGTGCATTTGAAATGAAATCTAAAAATGCTGTTGTATTTGGGGTTTAACCACTTCATGAGATTTGGAGAGAAGAATTAATAGTTGATTAGGAGGATTTATAGGATATTCAAAAACTAATGACGATTTCCGATGACAATCTATACATTTGTCTGAGGAATTCAGTTAAAAAAGGAGTGAACTATTATTCAATGACTGATTCTACTCTCATTCTAAGTATAGAAAGCATGCATGTCAATCCTATAAATCAAATTCTCAATTGGAATAATGGCAAAAAAATAATTACTTGTAGTAAAGATAAAAAAATTAAAATATGGAACCTTTCAACTAAATAACTTGATTTATCTTTTCCTCCACAGCATTTGAGTTCTGTTGAAGCTCTGGTTTTATCAAATAACTAGAAATTTATGTTTTCTTGCTCATTAGATATGACTGTAGGAGTTTGGTGTATGAAAAGATTCAAGCTTCTCGCTCAGCTTAATAGTACAATAAAGATCAATGATTTGCAGTTTTCGGATGATTAATCCTATTTAGTAGCTTTTGGAGAAAAATCCAAAATTTAGTATTGGAAACTGGAAGAGAATTCAGAATCAGTTAAAATTGGTATTGATATCTCGTACTTGAATGAATGCATTGTTACCCCTAATGGGGAGTATGTTGTGACCACTAATCTAAGCAAAATGCTAATGGAAATATGGAGCACCCTCACAAAGTCTTGTGTTACAAAATTTTAGTATGCCTAAGGGCGTTAGAGGGCTGTAAACTGTTGTCACAATTCAGCCTACATATTTTTCTAGAGGGAATCTGGAGAATTAATCAGGTGGTCTACCAAAACTCAGGCAGATACAGGGATCTATAGTCATAGTGATGATATTATCGACATTGTAATTGATACAAATGATAAATTTATTTACACTATGGGATACACGAAAGGAAAATTCTATAAATGGGAAGTTGAATCAATGACATAAATTCTGGTACTAGATCTAGGAGTGGGTTATGAGAATCTTGTGATATCTAATGATGACAGATTTGTGATTGCTGGCAACTATGGAAATTGATAACTTACATGCATAGATTTAAAAACTGACTAGATTGTATCTAAAATTGGTAATCTAGACTACTCTCCAGGAACTATATCTATTACTCTAGATAGTTAATTTGCTGTTGTTTGCCAAGGCTGGAACAGTTCCAAGGTGTTTGTCTTATATCTTGAAACCTTACAAACCTTTAAAATACTAGAGGATCATAAAGAAACAGGAGTCTGGTTTGTTGCTCCAACTCCAGATGGGCTATATGTTATCACAAGAAACTATTAAGAAACTATTATTTGGGATGCTAAAACATTTAACTATATTCTTTTTGTTGACGAGAAATTCATCATGCTTTTATCTGACCATAAAATTTGCAGAGCTTTTTTGCATGATGGTTTCTTTAAATTATGGTCTGCCAAAACAGCTGCGCAACTTTCAGATGACTTTCCATAATCATAAGAAAATATGATTGGAGAAGGAGATGAGTAAAAGTCTCTACTTAAGATAAGTGGGCCATTTAATTCATTAGTCCCACTGATTATTAAAAATCTAATGCAAACTGTCAAAAGTGAATAAAGGCAATATGTTAAAGCACTTTAGGACAATTTTATCCTACCTTATAAACTAAATATTTTGCATTTCTTTGCTTTTTACAATAATCCTCATAGTTTAACTTCTGCTCTTGACCAAGGAACTATTTATACTAGAGATTATTTAGGTAAAAGTCCTTTAGAATATTCTATTGATAGAATGAGTCAAGAATGTACCGATATTTTACTTGGCTATATAATGAAGAGAGAAAATATCTATCAGAAAATGAAAGAGTAAGAATTGATAAAACTAGTCAATTTTGGTCCTAGTAATTTGTTGTAATTTTTTGAAAATGCAGTTTTTACTGAGGAGAAAAATGTTCCTCCCTATGGAAGTATTGTAGGAGGTAATTGTACTTTTCTTCTGACAAAAGGTGCAATTCTAGAAAATTATGACTGCAAATTGATGCTGAATTCAAAGATTCCTGAATCTTAATAAAAACCATTACTTTTTAAATCTCTAAAGATTAAATATAATCTTGAACCAGGCTCTTTAAGTAGCATTATCCTTCATTAGAGCCTTTAAGACACAAATTCAAAAGAAATATTTACATCAGAGGCAGTGAATAGAATTCTTGAGTATAAATGGAATAAAGTCAAATAGTTTGCCTATATTTAATGTTCTGTCTACTTTTTATTTGTAGCATTGATAATTGCTCATTCTATTTCATACAAAGATAGAATTGAATTAGTAATAGCTATTTTAGCATTTGGATTTATTTTTATCGGCTGGGAGCTGTTTTAGCTTATTTTAAATTATAGGTCTTACTTTGGAGAAATATGGAATGTGCTTGACATAGGCAGGGTTATTTTGATTGTATGGTATTGTTTAACAGCACTAGTAAATATATCTAATGATAAATCTGCTGTTGATAAGGAAAATAGAATTGTGTTGGGAGTGTTAAATCTTCTCGTATTCTTAAGAATTTTATCATACTTTAGACTTAATTAAAGCTCAAGAGTCTTGATTAGACTTATCATTGAAGTTTGCAGAGATATGGTATCATTCACACTACTGCTGTTTTTAAGTATTGTTGGTTTTGCAATTACTTTCAATATTATTTAATCGAATGATAGCGATGAAGATACTCTTCGAGGCAATCTTGGTCTTTACTATAGACTAATTTATGGAGATTTTGGAATGATTGCTGATGACACAGGAACAGCTTTGTGGATAGTTTTCATTGGAAGCAGTTTCTTTATTACATTGATTATGATGAATTTACTTATTGCCATAATGTCTGATACTTACGACAGAGTGATGAATGACATTACATCTACAGATGGATGGGAGCTAAATTAACTTATTCTTGAACAAGAGAGCATGATGTTTTGGAAAAGAAACAAAGGAGAGCCTATGTATTTACATTGGGTCACATATACTGGAGGTTCATCTTAATCTTTGTGGGAAGGTAGAATTGCTGCAATTCATTAAAGTCTTCAATAGGAATAAGGATCACTTAGCGAAGATGTAAAAACAATAGTGAAGGAATTAAGCGATATAAAATCCTAACTTTAATCTCATTCAAGAGATGTTAATATGAGATTTGAAGAGCATAGAAAAAAATTGGAAAAAATTAGATCTTTCCATCCTTAGAAATCAATTCTTATTTGATTTTATATAAATTCATTAAACTTGATTTTTTATATGAAGGGGTTTTGGGGTTTTGGGG